TGTCTACAGTTTTACGAGTCTAAAATGTGTTACTTTGGGAACATTTTGTCGTGTTTTAGATGACAAATCCACTAGAGGGTGCTGTCTACATTTTTTTTCAAATCTGAAAAGCTTCTTAGTGTACATTTTTGTTGTACGTTTCAAGTAATAAATCCACTAGAGGGTGCTGTTTGCATTTTACCTATCTAAAATACATTTAGTTTGTTTTAAATGACAAATCCACCAGGGGTCATTCTACATATTTGAAAGTCTGAAATACAAACAAACTGTTTGTTGTATGCTTCAGAAGATAAATCCACTAGAGGACGCGGTCTACATTTTTGTGAATTTGAAATGCGTTACTTGGGAAACATTTTGTTGAGTTAATTGTCAAATCCACTAGAGGGCGCTGTCTACATTTTTGTGAATCTGAAATGCGATGTTTGCACATTACGAGTCTAAAATATGTTACTTGGAATACATTTTGCTTGTTTTAAATGACAATTCTACTACAGGGCGCCGTCTACATTTTTGTGGGTCTGAAATATATTACAGAGTGGCTGTGTTCACACCAGACGCAGTATGCGCAAATAAATCATGCTATCCGCGCGTAAATAGACTTTGAACATTTTGTCATGTTTTAGATGACAAATCCACTAGAGGGCGCTTTCTACATTTTTACGAGTCTAAAATGTGTTACTTTGGGAACATTTTGTCGTGTTTTAGATGACAAATCCACTAGAGGGTGCTGTCTACATTTTTGCGATTCTAAAAAAGCTTCTTAGGGTACATTTTTGTTGTATGTTTTAAGTAACAAATCCACTAGAGGGCGCTGTTTGCATTTTACCCATCTAAAATACATTTAGTTTGTTTTAAATGACAAATCCACCAGGGGTCATTCTACATATTTGAAAGTCTGAAATACATTGTTTAGGCTGTTTGTTGTATGTTTCAGAAGATAAATCCTCTAGAGGACGCGGTCTACATTTTTGTGAATTTGAAATGCGTTACTTGGGAAACATTTTGTTGAGTTAATTGTCAAATCCACTAGAGGGCGCTGTCTACATTTTTGTGAATCTGAAATGCGATGTTTGCACATTACGAGTCTAAAATATGTTACTTGCAGGCCCGGTTTGGCTAATCGGGATGACCGGGAGAATTCCCGGTGGGCTGGTCCGTTTTTTGGCCGCGAGGGCCGGTGTCCCTAGTTCCAGAATCGGTTGTTCTCAGCAGTCACACTTTTTAAAAATAATTTAATTATTTACTTGACCACAGCCTTCTTATTAATTATTTTACCGCAGCTCTGCTCTTTTTATCTATTTTCTCGTAGCCTCATGAGCAGGATGCAGGTTAATGATGATATAACTAGATAAGTCACAATTAAACGTACAGCAGTTGTGGTACAGTGGTTAGTACGTTAGATTATGAGGCGGCCAACCCGGGTTCGGTCCTTGTCTGAGTAACAATTTTTTTTTTTTCATTTTTATTGTTAAGACATAATACTGTAAGGGTTGTTGAACATTTGAAGTTCTAAAAGTGCTGTTTTCTCAAAAAAAGACGTGATAGTGTAATTAGAAACTGAATTGGAAATAACCTTATTTTAATATAGTCAGTGGTGAACTGAGGTGGGCCGGTCTGAGGCTTGAAACTCCTGGGCTGAAAAAGAGACCCACTCCGGCCCTGGTTACTTGGAATACATTTTGCTTGTTTTAAATGACAATTCTACTACAGGGCGCCGTCTACATTTTTGTGGGTCTGAAATATATTACAGAGTGGCTGTGTTCACACCAGACGCAGTATGCGCAAATAAATCATGCTATCCGCGCGTAAATAGACTTTGAACATTTTGTCATGTTTTAGATGACAAATCTACTAGAGGGCGCTGTCTACATTTTTGTGAGTCTAAAATGCGTTACTTTGGGAACATTTTGTTGCACATCTAACGATGACAAATCCTCTAGAGGACGCGGTCTACATTTTTGTGAATTTGAAATGCGTTACTTGGGAAACATTTTGTTGAGTTAATTGTCAAATCCACTAGAGGGCGCTGTCTACATTTTTGTGAATCTGAAATGCGATATTTGCACATTACGAGTCTAAAATATGTTACTTGGAATACATTTTGCTTGTTTTAAATGACAAATCCTCTAGAGGATGCTGTCTACGTTTTTGTGAATTTGAAATGTGTTACTTGGGAAACATTTTGTAGTATGCTTTAGATGGCAAATCCACTAGAGGGCGCCGTCTACATTTTTGTGAGTCTATGATGCTTTACTTTGGGAACATTTTGTCGTGTTTTAGTCCGTGTTGACTTCACGAAGGTGAGCGGGATGTTGCAGCTTGGTAGAAACGAGACAAAGCAAAGTAAGAGAAGCATGTTTTGCATTGTGATCATTCAATTTTTGCGTACCTGAATACTGTTCGACTCCCCAGAACACCATCAAACAGTGCTGTTCAGATCTTGTGAAACTGTTCAATATTCATCGCAGAAAAATAGAATCTTGCAATATTAGATTATCCAATATCGTGCAGGCCTATGTTAAAATCCAGTTTAGCCGTTTCCAAGCACGTGTTTCCAACGAGCCTGTGTTGGGATTATGGTAAGGGTGTCACATCCGTGTTCATTTCTGGAAAATGAGATCATCTTTCAGTGATACCATCCTTCCGCTGGACCTGATGAATTACATTAAGCTTATTTGATCTGAAATCTGACCCTTTCATTTCCTCTTCTGGATTTCAGCAGCTTTTTGTTTCACACAATGATCTCTGCAAATGTGCCTCTGCTGTATATTAAATATTGCATGAATAATCTCCAGCTCTCATTTGACAGTGCAACTGATGTGTGGGGAAATTCAGGATCTCTTCAATCACTAATTTATTTTCTTTTTGCCATGCTGACAGCACATAATATTTGACTAGATATTCTTCAAGACACTAGTATTCAGCTTAAAGTGACATTTACATGCTTACCTAGGGTAATTAAGGTAAAGTTAGGGTAATTAGGCAAGTCGTTGGCCAACAGTGGTTTGTTTTTTTTTTGGTTATTTTTGTAGCCAGTTTCAAAATTGTTGCTTCATTTAGCCTATTCTTGGTGTTTTGGGTCAGTTTAGGATCTATTTCTATTCCTAATCTTGATCTCTTGTTGCTGCTGTAACAGCGGTGAGCTGTGCTGAGGTTAAAGAGAGCGTGTGAAGGGTCAGAAAGTCTCGACTATCAGATGTAGTTTGACCGCAGCTCTTCATCTGTCGTCTTCACTTCTCTGCGCTCGCTCAGGCTTCATCAACACTTTCACAGACGCGCTGACTCTCAGCAGCTCATTTCTCTGATGCTTTACTGCTCTTTCCGCTCCTGTTAGCATCATTTGTCCATTACAGAGCTGGACAATCATCTGTTCCACCATTACACAAACTACAGGCGTCAGAAACCCTTCTCATTCTCAACTTCAACACATGCAGTGACATGCATAATTCACACTTCAGGTAAAAGAACTCTTGTTTAAAAGAAGATTCAAGATGAATACCTTCATATTACCACATAAGTGTGTTTAATTTTCTTCTTAAATACATACTTTAAATGTAACTTGATGATTTAAATGTTCCAATCAGAGCGAGTTTCCAGTAAACAACTTACTGATTCAAATGATTCATTGAGAAAGTCTCTAGTAAAAAAACTCACTGATTTAAATGATCTATTCAGAGAGAGTCTTCAGCAAACAACTCACTGATTCAAATGATTCATTGAGCAAATCTCTAGTAAAAAACTCACTGATTTAAATGATCTATTCAGAGTGAGTCTTCAGTATCAACTCACTGATTCAAATGATTCATTGAGCAAGTTTCTAGTAATAAACTCACTGATTCAAATGATCCATTCAGAGTAAGTCTTCAGTAAACAACTCACTGATTCAAATGATTCATTCAGAGTGAGTCTTCAGTAAACAATTCACTGATTCAAATAATCCATTCACAGTGAATCTTCAGTAAACATTTAACTGATTCAAATGATTCATTCAGAGTGAATCGTGAGTAACCATTTTACTGATTCAAGTGATTCATTCAGAGTGAGTGTTCAGTAAGCATTTCATTAATTCAAATGATCCATTCAGAGTGAATCTTCAGTAAACATTTCACTGATTCAAATGATCCATTCAGAGTGAATCTTCAGTAAACATTTCATTTATGGCAATGATTCTTTCAGAGCAAATCTCTTGTAAACAACTCACTGATTCAAATGATCCATTCAGATCAAGTCTCCAGTATACCACTCATTGATTCAAATGATCTATTCTGAGTGAGTCCAGTAAACCACTCAATGATTAAAATGATTCGTTCAGAACGAGTCTCTAGTGAACAACTCACTGATTCAAAGTTCTCTTCACAGCGAGTCTCCAGTAAACAACTCACTGATTCAAATAATCTGTTTAGTGCAAGTCACCAGTAAACAACTCATTGGTTCAAGCGAATCATTCAGAGTGAGTCTCCTGTAAACAACTCACTGATTCAAATGATCCATTTAGAGTGAGTTTCTAGTAAACAACTAATCAGTTCAAATGATCTGTTCATAGCGTTTCTCTAGTAAACAACTCAATGATTTAAATGATTAACTCAGAGCGTGTATCTAGTAAACAACTAACCGATTCAAATGATCTGTTCAGAGAGAGTCTCCTGAAATAAACTCACTAATTCAAGTGATTCAGTTAGTCTCCAGTAAACAACTTATTTATTCATTCACAGTCTTCAGTAATCAACTCACTGATTTAAATGATCTATTCAAAATGAATCTTCTGTAAACGACTCACTGATTTGAATGATCCATAGATGTATGATTTGAGTGATTCATTCAGAGTGAGTCTCCAGTAAACAACTCACTGATTCAAATGAGCCGTTCCATAAACAAACAATTCAAAGATCCATTCAGAAAGTGTGATGACACGCTTTGGTAGTGTTATTTTGTTGTGTGTTAAACTCACAATATTTATGTGTATTTTTCTGTGTGTGTGTGTGTGTGTGTGTGTGTCGCAGGGAACAGCCCATCTTCAGCAGTCGAGCTCATGTGTTCCAGATCGATCCTGCAACCAAACGCAACTGGATCCCGGCAAGCAAGCATGCTGTCACCGTCTCCTTCTTCTATGATGCCAACAGACACGCCTACCGCATCATCAGTGTGGGCGGGACCAAGGTGAGACTTAACACAAGAGATTAGATTTCCTCTTTAAAATGTGATATGATGTTTGAACAAGCCCTAAAAAGTGCCCTTTCAGTAGAATTAAGGGCATTTCTTTGTCACAAATGCGTGTGAAGAGTGTATATCCAAACCCACACACACACACACACACTCTGCAGTATCAAGTGTGCCAGAAATCCATCGGCCTGCTGGAGAGATGAAGATGTGAATGCGAAACGCAATAAACGTCTCTGTTCAGATGCTGATTATTGAGCCGATGTGATTAGAGGCAGAACAAAATACTCCCCGCGAGAGGGTTTAAGCAGGATTGAAGGTTAAGAGTCTGACATCTGATATCAGAGTTCAGTAATGGGGGAAAAGTCCTGCATCGGTGCGCAGAGACATGACTTGCATCCTGCGGGACGATCGATACTCGTTGATGGAGCGAATCAGAGCTGCTGGACTGAAGACGCTGATCGAAAAAACCCAAGACAGCACATCACACCGACCTTCACAATCAACACACTCTTAGAGGAACAGCCAAGCCCCGCCCACTCAGACTGGAAGAGTTTGATTGACATGTAAAGTCAACAGTGTGTTGACCAATGACAGCTCTGGCTGCTGCTGCTCTAAGCTTTGGAAAAATAGTGTCAGCTTGAAATGGAAGTTAATTGTCCTTTTTCCCCCTGTTGTGATGTACATTAAAATTAAAATGAGAAGAAAATGTAGGATGGATTTCATTCTGTGGAAACTGATTGGATTGGGCATTGCTAGCAAATTGGAGGAAGATTGATGAATGGACAAATGCAAGACAGAAACGAGACACACACTGATATCCCTGCCCTGAATGACTGATAGCTCCGCCCTAATCAAATTATAACCCCGCTCTAAATGTTTGATAACCCTGCCCTAAAATACAGATAGCCCCACCCTGAATGTTTAATAGCCCTGCCTTAAAGGACTGATAGCTCTGCCCTAACAAAATTATAGCCACGCCAGAAAAGTCTGTTCACCCCACCCTACATGTCTGATAACCCCGCCCTGAATGTCTGATAGCCCTGCCCGACATGACTGATAGCCCCACCCTGAATGTCTGATAGCCCTGCCCTACATGACTGATAGCCCCGCCCTGAATGTCTGATCGCCCTGCCCTAAATGACTGATAGTTCTGCTCTAAATGACTGATAACCCCGCCTAAATGTCTGATAGCCCTGTCCTAAATGAATAAAATCTTTGCTGTAAATGTCTGATAGCCCTGCCCTAATAAAATTATAGCCCCGTCCTAAATGACTGTTAGCCGTGCCCTAAATGACTGATTGCCCCGCCCTAAATATCTGATTGCTCTGCCCTAAATATCTGATTGCTCTGCCCTAACAAAATTATAGCCACGCCCGGAATGTCTGTTCGCCCCACCCTACATGTCTGATTACCCCGCCCTAAATGTCTGATAGTCTTGCTTTGAATGACTGATAGCCCAGCTCTCAATGTCTGATAATCCTTCCTAAATAACTGATAGCCCTGCTCCTAATGTTAGATTGCTCTACCCTAATAAAATTATAGCCCCGCCCTGAATGTCTGATCGCCCTGCCCTAAATGTCTGATAGCCCTGCCCTACATGACTGATAGCCCCTCCCTGAATGTCTGATCGCCCCGCCCTAAATGACCGATAACCCCACCTAAATGTCTGATAGCCCTGTCCTAAATGACCAAAAGCCTCCCCGTAATTGTCTGATAGCTCTGCCCTAATAAAACTATAGCCCCGTCCTAAAAGAATGGTAGCCCTGCCCTGAATGACTGATAGTCCTGCCCTAAATTACTGATAGCCCTGCCCTGAATGACTGATTGCCCCGCCCTAAATCTCTGATTGCTCTGCCCTAACAAAATTATAGCCACGTCCGGAATGTCTGTTCGCCCCACCCTACATGTCTGATAACCTTGCCCTAAATGTCTGATAGTCCTGCTTTGAATGACTGATAGCCCAGCTCTCAATGTCTGAAAACCCTTCCTAAATAACTGATAGCCCTGCTCCTAATGTCTGATTGCTCTACCTTAATAAAATTATAGCCCCGCCCTGAATGTCTGATCGCCCTGCCCTAAATGACTAAAAGCCTTGCCCTACATGACTGATAGCCCCGCCCTGAATGTCTGATCGCCCCGCCCTAAATGTCTGATAGCCTTGGCCTACATGATTGATAGCCCCCCCTGAATGTCTGATCGCCCTGCCCTAAATGACTAAAAGCCTTGCCCTATATGTCTGATAGCTCTGCCCTAATAAAATTATAGCCTCGCCCTAAATGTTCGATCGCCCCGCCCTAAATGTCTGATAACCCCGCCTAAATCACTGACAGCCCTGCCCAAAATTTCTGATATTTTTGCCCTAAATGACTGATAACCCCTGCCCTGAATGTCTGATTGCTTTGCCCTGATAAAGTCATTGTCCCTCCCTAAATGTCTGATGACCCCGCCCTAAAGGTCTGATAGCCCTGCCCGAAATGACTGATAACCCCGCCTAAATGTCTGATAGCTCTGCCCAAAATGACTGATAACCCCGCCCTGAATGTCTGATTGCTCTGCCCTAAATGACTAATAGTCCCGCCCAAAATGACTGATAACCATGTCTAAATGTCTGATAGCCCTGCTCTAAATGACTAAAAGCCTCACCGTAAATGTCTGATAGCCCTAATAAAATGATAGCCCCGCCCTAAATGAATGATAGCCCTGCCCTGAATGACTGATATGTCCGATCGCCCCACCCTAAATGTCTGATAACCCCGCCTAAATCACTGATAGCCCTGCCCAAAATGTCTGATATTTTTGCCCTAAATGACTGATAACCCTTGCCCTGAATGTCTGATTGCTTTGCCCTGATAAAGTCATTGTCCCTCCCTAAATGTCTGATAACCCCGCCCTAAATGTCTGATAGCCCTGCCCGAAATGACTGATAACCCCGCCTAAATGTCTGATAGCTTTGCCCTAAATGACTGATAGTCCCGCCCAAAATGACTGATAACCACGCCTAAATGTCTCATAGCTCTGCCCTAAATGACTGATAGTCCCGCCCAAAATGACTGATAACCACGCCTAAATATCTGATAGTCCCGCCCAAAATGACTGATTACCCCGCCCTGAATGTCTGATTGCTCTGCCCTAAATGACTAATAGTCCCGCCCAAAATGACTGATAACCATGCCTAAATGTCTGATAGCCCCGCCCTAAATGAATGATAGCCCTGCCCTGAATGACTGATATGTCCGATCGCCCCACCCTAAATGTCTGATAGTCCCGCCCTAAATGACTGATAGCATACCCTGAATGACTGATTGCCCCGCCTTAAATATCTGATAGCCCTGCCCTAAATGACTAATGACGCTGTCCTAAATGTCTGATAGCCCTGCCCTAAAGCACTGAAAGCCCTTCCCTAAAGGACTGATAGCCCCGCCCCTCATTTACTGATAGCCCAATTGAAATGGCCCTGAAATGAGAAAAAAAGAAATGGGTGGAGCATGAGTTCATCTTTTCGAGACTGTGAATACACTATACCTGCACACACGTCTGTCCAAACAGCTTGCAAACGTTGATTGTGCATGATAGCTGCCCTGTAAAGCTCATGAATGAAGCAGATTGTTTGTGTCCTCAGCCAGACCTTTAAATCTCAGCAGTTTGTGGATTATCAGAGTGTTTCATCTCTAAACAACACCTCTACACTGACCCACATTCATGTCAAGTTTGAGTTTAGAAACACAGACCGTTACTGAAATTAGAGAATAAAACCATCAGAGACACATATGAAACTGATAATTAATAACAAATCATTAACAGTCACAATTATTCTATGATTTGAATTCTGTTTCACACAATATTTCTACATTTTCACTAGAGCTGCACAATATGTGCTTTCAGCATTGATATCTCAATGTGCTCATCTGCAGGATCTCAATGTCAAGTATGGTTTATTATTGACCGGGAGCTTGTAAATTGGAGGCAAATGTTTAACCATTTAAACTTTATTAATTGCATTCGTTGTTGGTTTGAGTTTAAAGAGTGAGTTTAAGTGTGAGTTTAAAGCATGGCAGTCACTTGAAACAATAGCATTTGTAGCTTTAACAAACATACATTTTTAGAGTGAAGCCTACCAAGTGTCATTTTAGGTTATATTTTTAAATATGTGTGTCTAACTGCTATTTAGGCCCCATCCCGATTCTATTTTTGTACCCCTACCCCTTCCCCATGGCCCTTGAAACAGAGTGTGAAGAGGTAGAGCTTCCCCTTTCTCAAAACCAAACCCCTTGATTTTGATTGTGGTCCTGAAAAATCTAAGTTTCAAGGGCTATCTAGCCCTTCCCCTTAGCACTTTGCCGTCAAGCCAAAGAGAATTGAGACACCCCTACCCCTTCACCTGAAAGCGCAAAAACAAGTGGTAGGGGTAAGAGAAAGGGCTAAGGGGTAGAATTGGGATTGGGCCTCAGACTTACCAGACAAATATAATATAAAGCAGTTTCTTTCTCATTTGTATGATGTTTCACCACTAAAAATCTAGTTTAAAGTTCATCCATTCATTCATTTTCCTTTGGCCTAGTCTCTATTTCAGGGGTCGCCACAGTGGAATAAACCACCAACTATTCCACCATATGTTTTTACGCAGCGGATGCCCTTCCACCCGAAACTCAGTACTGGGAAACACCCAAACACACTCATACACTACGGCCAATTTAGTTAATTGTGTTTGGACTGTAAGGGAACCCGGAGCACCCGAAGGAAACCCACGTTTACACGGAGAGAACATGCAAACTCCTCACAAAAGTACCTTATGGCCCAGCTGGGACTCGAATTAGTGACCTTCTTGCTGTAAGGCCACAGTGCTAACTACTGAGCCACCGTGCTGCCCCCAAGTTGTTCCAGACAATTACTGTAATTTTTTGTTTATTTTATGCTGAACAAAAAAGAAAATATTTTAAATAAAGCTGCAGCTATTGACATCCATATGAGGAAAAAAATAAATACTATGGAAGTCAATA